ACGTCGCTCTCTTCACGGCACGCCTGACAGTCTCTTTCTTTCTTTAGCCAATTCGCCAGCCCGGTGTCGAAGCCAGTGCATATTCTATGTCCTGCATCCATATTCGGCCTCTTCGTTGCTTACCAAAAATTGTATCTTTCATAACCGTTCTCTCCACAACGTGCATGGCCAGTTTGTGAAAAACCACAACAGCCAAAAAACGCTGGGGTTGGTTCTGTAACGTACTGTAAAGGATACGCAACTGACTTTAACTTATCAGCGTTTTCTAAAAAAAAATTATATATTTTTTTGCGGATATTGTGGACTCAGCCTGGAGGAGGGCCAACGCGAGGGCCAGTGTTACCGTTATCCCCGTGCGCTTTCTCAAGGCTGGGAAGATCTATAAAGGTCAATTTAACAGGGTCGAGACGCTCCATCGATACTTGACTGTGCGAGGGACTGGTTACTGGCTGTCGACCTGCCTGGTCACGAGAGGTACCCAGAGTTTATCCTGAAGACCGGCCTGCGACCCCGACTTAGTCCTACAGTCTGCGGAGAAATGCCAGCTCATCCTGATTGAGCTGACCGGGCCGTATGAGTCGCCAATCACTTGTACAAGTTCGAGAAGTACAGTGATCTCACGGCTGGTCTGAGGAAAAACGAAGAGTACGCAATAAAAATATTCGCCGTCGAGGTAGGCGCAACAAATCTTATCTCGACTTCCATGTATAGTGTGCTAAAGCAGCTTGCGAGGAAACAAGCGCAAACGATCACTAAAACAACTGGGCGAAGCTGCGGAAAGAGCTTCGAGCTGGCTTTGGACGCAACGGAACGTCGTGGGGAACGGGCCTCGGTTGGCTGGTCTGCGTTTTTAGTCGGAAAGAAAGTCTTATCCCTTAAGTACATCGTGTCCGAAATGTCTGCCAGTGGAACTATGCCAATTACAAAGCCTAACATTTCTGAGAGGTCCCAGAAACCCCGTTCAGACTTTAGGCCATATTTATGGCCGGGCTATATCGCGGCCCCTGGCAAGAGCCAGAGTAAGGCTTCAAAAACGAAAAATTTCATCCTGAAAAGGAGGACAAGTAGTATGTAGATGACCAAACAGAGACTGACTGACTTTCTACCCCACCAGGACATCGCACAAGCGATAAACACACAATGACGCAAAGTGCCACCATGTGGATAAAGATTGCCGTGGATAGGTAACAGAAACCACGTTCAGACAATTAGCCATATTTATGGCCTGCCTATATTGCGGCCCCTGGCAAAAGCCAGGGTGGGGCTTCAAATAACAACACATTTCATCCTGAAGAGGACGTAAGGATTATACTATGATGAAACTGGATTGACTGACTGACTTTCTACCCCACCAGGACATCACACAAGCGATAAACACCCGATGACACAAAGTGCCACTATGTGGATGAGGATCACTGTGGAGAGGTCCGAGAAACCGCGTTCAGACAATTGGCCGTATTTATGGCCTGCCCATATTGTGGCCCCTAGCAAAAGCCAGAGTGGGGCTTCAAATAACAAAAAAATTGCGTCCTAAAAAGGACGTTAGGATATTTTTAAGTGAATATCGGACAAAAACTAGATTGACTGACTGACTTTCTACCCCGCTAGGACATCACACAAGCGATAAACACCCGATGACACAAAGTGCCACCATGTGGATGAGGATCACCGTGGAGAGGTCCCAGAAACCGCGTTCAGACAATCGGCCATATTTATGGCCTGCCTATATTGCGGCCCCTGGCAAAAGCCAGGGTGGGGCTTCAAATGACAACAAATTTCACCCTGAAAAGGACGTAAAGGTTAATTACCTGTGTCAAGTAAATATTACGAAAACTGGATTGACTTGACTTTCTACCTCACTAGGACATCACACAAGCGATAAACACCTGATAACACAAAGTGCCACCATGTGGATGAGGATCGCCGTGGCGAGGTCCCAGAAACCGCGTTCAGACAACTGGCCATATTTATGGCCTGCCTATATTGCGGCCCCTGGCAAAACCAGGGTGGGGCTTCAAATAAACAAAATTTTGTCCTGAAAGGACGAAGCTGACTGACTGACTGACTTTCTACCCCACCAGGACATCACACAAGCGATAAACACCCGATGACACAAAGTGCCACCATGCGGATGAGGATCGCCGTGGAGAGGTCCCAGAAACCGCGTTCAGACATTTGGCCATATGTATGGCCTGCCTATATTGCGGCCCCTGGCCAAAGCCAGAGTATGGCTTCGAATGACAAAAAAATTTCGTCCTAAAAAAGAACGAATTTGGGTATCGGAGGACGAAGCTGAGTCCCAGTCTATTGTTCATAACTCAACATTTTATGAGGTTTCAGTATTGTTTGGACAATAATGTGATTCTTTAAATAATTTATGTGGCCATTCAAAATGTACAAAATTGAAAGTAGGTGGCAAAATAAAAACAAAAATAAAACTGGTTTTAAACAGTGGGATTACACCGCTGTCATATTTTAGTTCGCTAAAGACTTTAAAAAAAAAACTGTTTAGGGTATGTTAGCCGCCTTGTATTCTTTCCCTTTGTATTTAGGACTAAAATTATCTCCCTTGATAATTCCCTTGATAATTCTCGCACATAAACTTATACGATGCCAACTTTTATTTATATTTTAAAGAAAAGTCAGGAAGTTTTAGTTGTCAAAAGCAGCTTTAGGGATTTATTGGATCATCGAGGGGTCACGGCTGGGATCATTATGGCAATTGTTGTGTCTCAAGATTAAATAGTGGTGGGTTTTTTTAGCGGTAGCTAGGCTGCGATATATTTTATATATGGGTAAGCCTGTCGTAGGCGTATTATTGGCGTATCACACTGCACTGGAGCACCAGACCCACCCACTCTGCACTACAGCACCAGACCCACCCACTCGGCACTACAGGACCAGACCCACTCACACTGCACTACAGCACCAGAGCCACATACACTGCACCACAGCACCAGACCCACCCACTCTGCACTACAGCACCAGACCCAAGAACTCTGCACTACAGGACCAGACCCACCCACTCTGCACTACAGTACCACACCCACCCACTCTGCACTACAGCACCACACCCACCCACTCTGCACAACAGGTTATTTCGTAAACACGTTTGTGGTGTCCAAGCACAGCTCTGCTTTCTGGTTACATGGTTGAACCGGGTTTCCGGGATTTGTAGTGGTTTGATTCTCATCCTCATTATGGTAATCCTACAGACTGCAATCATGTAGGGGTAACATTAACCACCGCCCCAATTAGCCCCCTCCCCACCCCTCACCCATCCACCCACCCACCCCCCAAAATAATTATTTTCACATTTCATCTATATACCAAAAGCAACATTGACAAGCTTTTAAAGAAGTGACCACATAAACCAAAAGCTAAATGCCTATATGCCTTAGCCACACGGTGCGAAAGAGACAAGAACATTGACATGATTCGCTATTATCTGAGATCTTGACCGACTACGCTTATTGTCAAAGAACAGAAAAATGGCCACGACAACTGCCAAAATAAACGAATTCCCCATTAGGAAAATAAATATAAACTTGACTCCCAGGACAAAAACAAATACGCCTAGGAGCATCAAAATGTCTAGTTTTAATGGTCGATATATCTCTCATAATTGTACGGTTGAGCAATAAACAAAAACACACTACAATTGTTAAATTTACTTGGCTCTTGTCTCAAAAAACAATCCTGTTAGGGCAATTTGTTAAATAAATAAAGTGATAACGTTAACCATATATACCAGAGAAAATGGTTAGAACAATCAAAGAAAGCAAGGCTGGTGAAAACTCGATCTTCTGTTCACACAGTTTGAAGTAATTTAGTTTTATTGACCGGCGTCTGTGGCTTAGCTTTACTACAACAACAGCAACAGCAACAACAACAACAACAACTGCAACTCCCCCACACAACACACCACAACAATTGTTAGTAAGGTCTGAAATACTAATACATGTAGCATGCACAGCAGGGGTCCACCGTTATTAGTAGAGAGATCCTTCGTCGACGATTATTTTCGCCCATTACTTATCTAGACAATCTCGGAAGGTGGGCTCGGCCTGGTAATGACTCCAGGCCTTGATCTTCCCCTGCTGCACTTTATCTGACTCGACAGGGACAATAAGATGTGGATATTTTGCAACAGGTGTTGTGGAATTGGTGTTATATTGTCGCTGCGGTAGCAAATTAGATCAGTCGACTACCTTAACGACCAGAGTGACAAGTTAAAAGTTGGTTCACGGGACAGACTTTGGCAATCGGTGTTAGACTTTGGTATTTAGCAGAGAGACACTAGCATACATTTATCGGACACTTAGGCTTTTTAAGGGATATGAAGTTCCTCTTCACTAGACGCTCAGACCAGTCTACTGAGGCCCATTCCCCACGACGTTCCGTTGCGTCCAAAGCCAGCTCGAAGCTCTTTCTGCAGCTTCGTCCAGTTGTTTTAGTGATCGTTTACGCTCGTTTCATCTCAAGCCCAGCTGCTTTAGCATATTGTATGTGGAAGTAGAGATGAGACCTCTTGCGCCTTTCTCGACAGCGAAGATTTTAACTGTGTACGCTTCGTCCTTGAGGAAGCGCAATAGGACTGGCCCTCGCGTTAGAGAAAAATAGAGCCAAACATTACATCTACCTGTCCTATCTGTGTGCATTCAGAGGATACATTGGGTGAGCCAAGGTTGGGAAAAGAAGACCCACTATCCCTAAGAAGCATGCCGTAAGAAATAACTAATAATAGGTGTTCCCTTCAAACTCTGAGTGTATGTGCATGAAACGCGAGAAACCAATATTCTTCATCACATAAGCCATATCTTTAGAACGAATGTGCACGCAAAACATAAGATAAGTAACAAAACTAAAGTCCAGAGGTACCAACCGACGAAGTTGACGAGCAACCAGAACCTTCCGACTGCATTTACCGCAGGAGAACTAAGGAAATAAATAATCTACAAGTTCCGTAGAGAATGTACAACACAAGTATGACTACTCACCTCGAACAACCGAATGACTTTTGCCAGACTGATAGTCCCTTCCTTGAGAGTGACCAGAAGGTTGAAAGCAGAAAACTCATCAGGGAAATCGTCAGGAAGTAGTCCAGGAGCAAATCCTTCCACATCCCCGAAAGAGTCCGCCTTGCTAAGACGGCGTTCTTGCTTCTTGAACTCTTTGTTGGCTGCGGTCTCGAATTTGGCATCGGCAATCAAACTTTTCTTTCTCCAGCCGCCATGCTGAAAACAAGGATATTAGATGAACTGATATTTAAATGGAGAGCTGGAATAGGGAAGGGGGAGGGTGGGTGAGCCGGGTTAAATGTTTTTTTATTTAAGTTTGTTGGCATCTGTGGCTCAGGGATTACCAACGTGTTTATAAGTCAGAAATCAAATTTTTATGTGGCTGGAATCATAGGACTATTCCCACGTGTGTGTGTGTGTGTGGTGTGTGTGTGTGTGTGTGTGTGTGTGCTGAGTAATTCGGTGAGCATGATCCAGCAGTTCGAGTGGGCTCCGTACGCAGTTAGTGAACTGAGTCATCATTGTCCCTGGAGATGCATGTGTTTTTGGCAATGAAAGCGCTGATAGATCTGCCTTAGTTGCAAAGGACTGCCTATGGATCGTACTGACATTGTTATTGCCACCAGTGTCCTGACATCTAAGTGTGGCATGCCCCCAGTGTCCTGACATCTAAGTGTGGCATGCCCCCAGTGTCCTGACATCTAAGTGTGGTAAGCCCCCAGTGTCCTGACATCTAAGTGTGGCATGCCCCCAGTGTCCTGACATCTAAGTGTGGTAAGCCCCCAGTGTCCTGACATCTAAGTGTGGCTTGCCCCCAGTGTCCTGACATCTAAGTGTGGCATGCCCCCAGTGTCCTGACATCTAAGTGTGGCATGCCCCCATTGTTCTTTCTGTCCCCATTCCTGCCACTCTTCAAAAAGTCATAATAATTAATTATTGCTCAGTCATCAAAGATAGCTACGACTCGTAGTTGAAATTTTTTGTTTTATCCGTGAGCGGTTGTACCTTTCAACGCTCAGCACGTTCATTCCATAGCTATAGTTATTCAAACATAACCGATAATAAACTATATGTGATAAAATATAGCACTGACATTATTATGGGAAGGCAAGCAGATAAGCGAGGAAAGAGTGGAAGTGTCTGAGATATCAAATGCGTTTTCCTCATTAGATTAACAAGACATATGATCTTACTGTCTCTTCAGCCCGCTGATAATTTAGAAACCCAACATTGAAGAAATCAGCGTCAGCAAACAAATGAGGTCGTCGACCTCCAGCAAAACATACGTGTCCCTTTTACTCAAACGGGCTCTGTATCATTTTCATGTAAGTCGATTAGAACCCCTTCGGTTCCAAATAAGCTCAGTAAAAGGTCCTTTACATGCCAGTTCGTGGGTTCGGATCTCAACAGAGACTTTGTTGCTGTTGTTGTTGTTGTTGTGGGTACAAGGCACAAGCCCTGGAAAGTAAAGGCGGTCGGTGTGATGCTGACCACATCACCAACCAAGTACCGATTGGTCTATAAAATACAAAACTATCCCTATATGATCAATATACCTGAAGGCGGGGATAATGGTCCTTTACTTACCTTTACTTACACGCCAGAGGCGCTTCTGGGATAGACTAAAGCATGACTCATATTTTTATAGATAAGCCAATGTTGGTGAGGTCAACATCACGCCGGCCGCTTTTACTTACCAGGCTTTTATCTGGCACCCATTTAAGGCTAAGTAGACCTGAGAGCCGAGGTCATGTTAAAAAAAAAATATCCGTCTCCATACGGATCCGAACCCACGACTTTCGGATCCACAGTCTAGCGTCTAGGCGTTAATTAGACATGATTCTTATTAACTTAGATTATTTTAGATAAGAAAGTTTACTGCTAACTGTGCCACACTTTCACCTTCTAGTAATGCAGGTGAACTCATATCGCATTTTTACCTTTTAGAAATGCAGGCGAACTCACTCTCAAGCTTTTACCTTCTAGTAATGCTGTCAAACTCTTCTACACTTCCACCTTCCAGTAATGCTGTCAAACTCTTCTACACTTCCACCTTCCAGTAATGCTGTCAAACTCTTCTACACTTCCACCTGCTAGTAATACTGACAAACTCTTCTGCACTTCCACCTGCTAGTAATACTGTCAAACTCTTCTACACTTCCACCTTCTAGTAATACTGTCAAACTCTTCTACACTTCCACCTTCTAGTAATACTGTCAAACTCTTCTACACTTCCACCTTCTAGTAATACTGTCAAACTCTTCTACACTTCCACCTTCTAGTAATACTGTCAAACTCTTCTACACTTCCACCTTCTAGTAATACAGGCGAACTCACTATCAAACTTTCACCTTTTAGAAATGCAGGCGAACTCTGCCACACTTTCAATTTCTAGTAATACAGGCTAACTCACTGTCACACTTTCACCTTCCAGTAATGCAGGCGAACTATCACTCTTTCACCCTCTAATAATGCAGACGAACTCTGCCACACTTTCACCTTCTAGTAATACTGGAAAACTCATTCTCACACTTTCACCCTCTAATAATGCAGACGAACTCTGTAACACTTTCACTTTCTAGTAATACTGGAAAACTCATTCTCACACTTTCACCCTCTGATAATGCAGACTAACTTTGCCACACTTTAACTTTCTAGTAATGCTGGCGATCTCATTCTCACACTTTCACACTCTAATATTGCAGACGAACTTTGCCACACTTTCACTTTCTAGTAATGCTGGCGAACTCATTCTCATACTTTTACCCTCTAATAATGTAGACGAACTTTGCCATACTTTCACCTTCTAGTAATGCAGACGAACTTATTCTCACACTCTCACCCTCTAGTAATGCAGACAAACTCATTCTCACTCTTTCACCTTCTAGTAATACAGACGAACTAACACATATTCACATTCTAGTAATGCTGGCGAACTCATTCTCACACTCTCACCCTCTAGTAATGCAGAAGAACTTTGCCACACTTTCACCCTCTAGTAACGCAGACGAACTCATTCTCACTCTTTCATCTTCTAGTAATGCTTGCGACGGAATTAAAATTGGCAGAGCAAAAAACGAGACGCACACCAGCAGACTTGTTAATCAACATATCAATCAATCAGGTGCCGTCTCCACAATGACGGTTGGCTGCAATGGATCTCCAACAAGCCCTGTCCCTTGCCCTTGATGTACACTCACTCATACTGCTGTTCGTCCATCTCTTGATGTTATCCTCCCACTTGTAACACTGTCTGCCTCTTGCTCGCCTCCCTTGAACCTTTCCCTCTAGGATGATCTTTACAATACTGTTATATCTCTTAATGTGACCAAAATATTTCACTTGTCTCTTTTTTATTTCACCTAGCAACTCTCTTTTCATTCCCAATTTCCTCAGTACCTCTGTATTTGATAGCTTTTGTTTCCATGAAATACGACCTAATCTTCTGTATATCCACATCTCCAAAGAATTGATACGATTTTCCAGTTGTTTGTTTATTGTCCATGTCTCTGTGCCATACAGTAAGGTTGAGAATACATAACATTTGACAATTCTCATTTTTAATGCATTGCTTATTTCTCTTGATGTCAGTAACTTTTGCATGTTGTTGAAATAATCTACATAGCACTGGTACTATTAGCCACCAGACGTATGGGTTCATACTGAGGGGAGGATCTGAGCACCCAAGGACATGTCCGGAGTGCAGTGATGATATCCCAACTAACTAACTAACTAACTAACTAACTAACTAACTAACTAACTAACTAACTAACTAACTAACTAACTAACTAACTAACTAACTAACTAATACAGATCTAACTTACCTCTTGACTGAATGTTTTCTGGAAAGCCAAGCGTCGCTTAGCCGTCTCGGTTATATCTGATTTTGCGTTCATGTTGAATGTATTTCCTCACAGAATCTTTTCTGAATCCGGAGTTTGGGTCAGTATATTTAGTCAAGTTCGTTGCTTATGACTTAAGCCAGTTACTTGTGAATTCAGCTAGTTGCTTATGATTCTAGCTAGTTCTGTGTGGTTTTAGCGACCTGGTAAATGATTCTAGCTAGTTACTTATGGCTACAGCTAGCTAATTTTGATCTCTAGCGAGTAGTTAATGATTCTAGCTAGTTACTTATGGCTACAGCTAGCTAATTTTGATCTCTAGCGAGTAGTTAATGATTCTAGCTAGTTACTTATGGCTACAGCTAGTTAATTTTGATCTCTAGCGAGTAGTTAATGATTGTAGTTATTTACTTATGGCTTTAGCGAGTGGTTAAGGATTCTAACTATTTACTTATGACTTTAGGGAGTTGTTTATAATTCTAGTTAGGTACTTATAGCTTTTGAGAATGGTTTCTGATTCATGCTAGTGGCTTATGGCTATATGTAGTTGCTGTGATTCTAAGTAGATACTTATAGCTTTAGCAAATTTTGATTCTAGCCAGTTAATTATGGCTTTACTGTGTTGTTTATGTTTATAGCTAAGTAATTATGGCTAAAGTTACTTGCCATGATTCTAGCTTGTTACTTATGGCTGTAGCTGGTTGCTTATGGTTCTAACTAGCTTTTTATGTCACTCTGTTAATCGAAGATTCTAGCTCCGTTATTATAGTTTTAGCTAGAAGTAAATTAGCTGCTAATGACTCAGGTAAGTTTTCAACGCAGTTAACCTATGGATACTTTTTTGTGCGTCGCTTCTACAGATGCAGGTGTTAGCCGCAACGTCCTTGTTTATTGTAATTTGTTTTCTGTATAGCTCACATAAACTTTATATTTTCTAATATTTAGCTCTTTTCTAATGGCTGTATTCAGTAATATATTGCTATAGCTTACTGATGAAATCTCTTGCTAGCTTTGATTAGCACTACCTTTTGGCATATTATCTCCAGGTAGTTGATTTTGTCTGCAGCTATAAACGTATAGCTTGAACCGAGTGCTTATCGTCGATCTTTTCCCTAGGTCAGTAAGGGATTACTTAAGACAAATCAGTTCATGAGCGCAGTAAGTCGAAAACACCTATTGCCATTACTGCCTGCTGAAATATCCCAAATATTGTTTACTAAGCGTCTGTGGCTTAGGCTTTGCGAAGGTGCATTGTAATGCTGGGGTGCTGGGTTCCATCCCAGGTGGAGCCGATTTGGCAGCAGACCGCCTCGCGTTGATTGGACAGGGGTATCGAGCGCTGGCCGTTTAGCAGGAATTGTGAACTTTAATGTTAGTTGCGTATCCTTTACAGGACGTTGCAGAACCAACCCCAACAGCCCTTGGCTGGTATCTGGTTTTTCTAGGCAAATTTACGTCCAGTAGTTTGCCATTGCCCTGAACGGTCGGCTTTCTTGATACCACTGTCGGTCGCATGGCCCGATCGAACCCGGCATCCCGGCATTACAAAGCGTTCGCATCGTCTTAGAATGGTGAACTACTGAATGTAAAATTGCCTAGTAAAACCACAAACCGCCGCACATGCTGGGTTTGGTTCTGCAACGTCCTGTAAAGGATACGCAAATATTTATTTTTTAAGTAACACAGCTTTATTAAACGTATGAAACTACATTCCGTTAATGTATAAATTTTACAATATTTGTACGTAACTTTTGAATGTCAGAGTCTGAGACTAATGCGTTGCGAACGCGCTAGGTAATGCCAAGATACCCATTTCGATTCTAACTGTGGGCGATTCGGTAACAGATCACTTTTACGTTGATTTCGACAATGCTATGGAGAGCCGACCGTTGATTAAACAACGGTAAACCGCTGATCCTAAAATCGTCCTGTAAAATCAAACACACAGCCATAACATGTTTGGTTTATTCTAGGGTTTGCCTGTAAAGCATAGGCGACTAACTTAAACTTAACTTGTGAATAAAGTAATCGATAAGCAAATGTGTACTATAGAACGTTACTCCTATGTCTATATATGGTAAACTTTTGATCGTTACTCCTCAGCAAGTAATTAACGCAACACAGATACACCTTAATATTTCGTTAATTTTGGGAACTGGGAACTGATAGAAGTGCCTGCATTAGCTATAAGGCGTCCAGCCCACTACTTTTCCCACAAGTGGGGATACGACTGCAAATAAAGAAATCATTCTCCCCTTTTCCCAGTGACGTCACTAAGTACAAAACTCACTTACAGGAGGGTCGTACCGCGGGAAGTTCAGCCAACGGAAAAGCAGAGATTTCTTTCTATTTTCCTCTTTATTTTATATTCTAAAACCCATTCACAGAAAACTCAATATTTCTGACCAATCACGAAAGTCCGTGAATAACTCTTGCCACCGCCTTATCAATAGGGCCATTAGGCGAGCATGCGCATTTGCTATTCATCCAACTTCCTGTTTCCGGCGACAATTGTGAGGTTGGCGGCCGGCTTTAATTTAGTTGGGTCACAAATCAGAAAACGTCGGTTGCTAGGGAGGAATCAACTCAAGCACTTCAGAAACAAGTGACAGTCTCAGAAACTTGGCCTCTCCAGTCCCTGCCTCATTGTGAACAGTTAGACGTTTCTCTCGGGCTACGGGAAGCTCGCTAAAAATGCCAGAAAGGTTAAGAATGTAGTTTTAATTGCCGAGATCTTCAAAGAAATCTGGCGTCTCCGTCTTGCCACTAGAAACGCCCTCATAAATATTTTCCATTACTTACCGATAATGGAAGCGTTAATTAGTTTTTTAGTGTTTATTTTCGCAGTGCAGTTATGAAATTAATTTGATCAGTTAAAAACAATTGCGAATAAAACTATGGTATATTATAAACTGCACAACCAGAGTTATCTTAAAATATTAACGAATCATGTTTACAAGATTGATGAATTAGGCATACGGGTAATGACAATGTGGTTAGTATGTCGTTTTTACTTCTTTTGACATCCTCTAGCACCTCTCAACCTGAAAACCGATGTCAGTTATACAAATTTGCCTCGGGGATTCGGAACATGGGCGCTAGAATTTCAGGGGGAGTGGGTGGGGGAGGGGGTGTTTGAGGTCACTATTTAGGAGGTGTCCTGCCCCCTCCCCCCGACCCCCAAAAGATGTGGTCTGCCTCCACCCCCTGGCCCCAATAAGAAGCCGGCCTGCTCCCCACCCAACCCCCCTCCCCCGGTTCCAAAAAACAATAAAGACACCCCCTGGTTTCAGGAAAGAATGTAAAAGGTAAAGGTAAAGTCGGGAGATGTGAACCAGCGTCATTGCACACGGTTATAAACCATAAGTGCTCTGCCACCTGTACGGACAGCTGATAAGAAAATGTCCGCCTGTGTCGCCGTCCGCACGCATCCCCGTAGCTATTCCTTCATTTACCCTAGTGTCAACTCTTGTACCCATTATCTTGAGGCTGGGTGATCCCCAGAGTGTCAACTCTTGTACCCATTATCTTGAGGCTGGGTGATCCCCAGAGTGTCAACTCTTGTACCCATTATCTTGAGGCTGGGTGATCCCCAGGAACCGCCTGGTTTCGAACACCGGCCATGGGCTGCAGCGGGTCGCAGCTGGATTTGAAAGCGTGTCTCCTAACGACTGCGCTAACACGGCCCCATAAAAAAATAAGAATGATGGCTGCCCCAGCTTCCGGTCCCAATAAGAAGGTGGCCTACCCCCTCCCCTTCCCCATCCTCTCTTCCCCAATAAATATGTAAGGAGTCTAAGCAGACACATTTAGCCATGAATAGAAATGTTTTTTTAAGTACTCATTTATGCACGAGTTATTATTTCAAATAAATATATTTATCATTCAACACATATTACCTTTATGCTCTTAGACCAGGATTAGGCTACCTGAGCTTCCATTTTTCCTCAAGAAAATATTTTTTAGGCGATGGGAAGGCAGCTGAGAGCTCCCTCCCTTCCCCTGCTTGAATTGTGTTATATGTTCCGTTAGATCTAATACGACCCCAAGACGTCTTGTCCTTCAGGCAAGTGTATAGTCAGTGAACTACTCTGGCTCCTATCTTCATGTAGTAAGTCGTGTACAGTTCATCATCATCCTCATCTACCCTAGTTGCCATCAAGCGTTAAAAATATGAATAGTTGATGATCCAGTTATCAGTGGATGTAACTGGCTATTGGCATTCTGCGTCAACGTACAATGTACCTGATGTCCACTCATCTTCTTTGGGTGCACTTCTATCGTGTCAGCTCTTCCGTGACCGCTATTGAACCATTCTAAAAACACGTCAAAACCATTTGATCTGCGCCTCATAGCGTTTCGTGGGCGTTCCCATCCCCCAGTCTGGATAATCATATCGGTTTTTTTTCCCCTTTATTACCCCCGCGTCGGTGTCTGTGGCTTAGGCGTTGCAAACGCGCTTGGTAATGCCAGGGTGCCGAGTTCAATCCCTTCTGAAGGCGATTTGGCTGCAGAACGACTGGCGTTCGTTTCGAAAGTGGTACCTAGAGCTGACCGTTTAGCAAGCAATGGCAAACTAAGGAACGTAAAATTTGCCTAGAAACACCACAAAAGTCAACAAATGCGCGTGAGTTCTGAAGTGAGGGATGAGGGACTCTTGTTAGTGGACTTGCGAAACTGACACACATTATGCTGTTAGTTGACTTAGGAAACTGTCACACATTATGTTGTTAGCGGACTTGGAAACTGACATACAGTATGTTGTTAGTGGACTTACGAAACTGACACACATTATGTTGTTAGCAGACTTAGGAAACTGACATACAGTATGTTGTTAGTGGACTTAGGAAACTGACACACAATATGTTGTTAGCGGACATGTGAAACTGTCGCAGACTATGTTGTTAGAGGACTTGGAAAACTGACATACAGTATGTTATCGAAAAAAAAAAGCCATATTTAAACAGTTATGAAGGAAAATAATTGTTTGGGGATCGCCACAACATTACGGAACTGTATTAAGGGGTCGCGGCATGTGGAAGGTTGAGAGCTCT